AGAGAGAGAGAGAGAGAGAGAGAGAGAGAGAGAGCATTTACCTGATTTACAACAGGTTTGATATGAGTATCTCTTAAGACACGAGTTAATTGTTCTGAGTTGAAATTAGAGACCCCGATGCTTTTAACTAATCCCAATTTGTACGCGTCCTCCATTCCCCTCCACGTCTCGACAACACTTATGTCCAAATCAGCTGAGGATCCGTTTGCCTGTTTTGGGTGATTTTCATCGCCCTCTCTGTAAGCCATCGGCCAATGAACTAATGCTAAATCCAAATAATCTAAACCAAGATTATTGATCGACGCTCTCATGCCTTCGACCACTTTTCTTCTTCTGTGGTAAGTATTCCACACTTTACTCGTTATGAAAATATCGGATCGTTTTATCTTCTTTTTGTCGAATAGTTTTTGTAATGAATTTCCAATCAAACCCTCGTTATTGTACTCAAACGCCGTGTCTATGTGTCTGTAGCCAACATCGACCGCGTCTTCTATCACTCGATCCATCACTTTCTGATCCCGTATATTATAAGTACCCAAACCTATGATCGGTATTCTCATGCCATCCTTCAGTCTTATTGGCGGAACTCTTTCTCCTAGTGTTTATGTGAAACAAATTTAACCATTTATTTATATATAATATTATAAATTATAATTAAATCAATTAATAATACTAGATGACATACCTGAGCATTTGTTATTCTGGGCATTACTCGGGGACCAGAATAGTAATAATATGGTTAATGTTATCAATTGAAACATTTCAGCATAAAATATGAGCCCAATATATAGAATAATTGCTTTTATAGCAAAATATAGTGTACTTAAGTGATAATTATAGTAAACATTTATAATTAAGTAATTACTATTCATAGGAAGGGAGCACTAATGGACTGGAGTTGAAGGTTAAAACATTGGATTAAATAGTTTTGTTATTATTTTAAATATTACTAAATTTGATCATTAATTGTAGATTTAACTCATTCTGTTTGCTCAATCTGTTGTAATTTTATATAATACTTGACATATTAAATAATTGTCATTTTGTTTTATTTATTTCTTTTGTATGAATCAAAACATTAATATTATGTATTGTAAAAAACGAATATTTAAATATATTAAAACTATTTATTACAAAATGATTACAGCGATTATAATTAGGCATTTTAATCTATGTCAAACTTATAAAATATAATCAACAATAACATAAAATATAAATATCTTTAAGTAACTGAACAAAATACTTAATTTATTGAGTTATAAAATCCTATTTAATAACTTTATAGTGAAAACGTAATTATTATAATTACTTAAATATATTTATTAGATTGTTATTTATAAATTTAAATATAAATCAAATATGTATTGATTGCCGAAGCAATGAAATTAATATTAGTTTTAATGCATTAAATGTTAATAACAGGCATTCATCCAACGGTTGCGATGATATTCTCGGCCACAACTACACCACCGGTAATGATTGAACTTAAAGAACCATATCTTACGACAACACCGAGGATTGTATGGACAGTGCGGACAGTCTTTGTATGTATTGCACACATGAGTCGCCTTTCCTATTAGTTCCATATTTTCTGATCAAAAAATGTTAAATACTCTGCATTTCATTGATATTTTTAACAATTTTAACTATTTTCAATGTTATTTAAATAATTTTTTAATTGCAAAACTTGTAAAGGAATTAAGTTTTAGTTTTAAAACAAAAAATATCAAACTTATACATACCATTAAAAGGAAGTATTAATGGTTTTTCATTATTATTATTAATATTATCCATTAATTCAATTAGATTTGGTTCTGGTTTGTTATAGTTGTGTCGATATTCGCAAATAATTTTCATTATATTTACTAAAATAATCGCAAAAACTGTGATTTTAAATCTCATTTTTTAAATCCAAATACTTTCAACTCGTTTTTCGAAACAAATAGAAATAATAAACAAAAATACTATTCATTTCAATCACTTTAAACTTGTTTTTGCATTGTTTTAGCATTAAATGTAATATTTGTTTTGTAAAAATAGTAACATTCAATTATATCCATTTTTATAAATAGAAAATTACAAA